GAAGCTTTCTACCAGAACACCATCACCGCCGAATCGCAAACAGAAAGCCAAATCCGCTCCAAAGGCGCCTGCCAAGCGTCGTCGCCGACGTGACCAATCCCGATCCCGCTCCTCGAGCCCACTGTCACTCTGGACTTCCGAAGACAAACAGAAACTACGCACCTTGAAGGCTGACGAGAAGTCTCGATTTTCATGGAAGGTGATCTCGACCAAGATGGGCAAGTCCGAGGAAGATGTTCGCTCTATGTGGAATAAGATCAAAGACAAACTTGGCTGATCAACGACATATGCGAACCAAAAGAAAAAGGTAGTTTGCGGCACTGTATTACTGCTTCACCCACCAGTTGGCCGTTCTTTTGAGAATTTTGTTCCTTTTGTTGATCTTCACAACCACGGGCGTTGTTGCCCCATTGTATTTTGACATGTCGTATCATACAACCCGCCAGCCATTTATTATGTCTCTCCGCATTCACCTGGACCGCTATTGCCAACTGCGAGCTATGTCCCACGAGAGGATCTCACCTACACGACGCTCACGCTCTCCAACAAGGACATCGTCTTCCGCTGTGGGCTCTTCGTCACTTCAGCACCCACCCAACCGGACTTCGCCTACGACACCCCACCGACCGGTTATTTTCCAATTGGACCTGAAGCCGATGCAGCAACTTGCCGTCCGCAACCCTTATTACAACATCTTGACCCCCAAGGTCGCGGGCAACCTCCCTACGGCCACCTATGATAGCCTGTTCCAGACGTTCAAGGTGATCTACCCGGACTATGCTCGCAGTCATTTCGTTTCAGACCTCAAAACTGTGGTCACCGACACGCTGCTACAACGATGGTCGATACACCTACCAGCGTCAGATTTCTACATGATGATTGACACCGATCAAGGAGCTCAGATGCTTGACGACCTCCCTCATTCTCTTCTGGATGTTTTGAACTGGTTCTACCCGAGATGGAAAACTCGTCAACATCTCGATGCCTTCACGACTCGTGAGTGTTCACCTTTGCTGCTGACACCCCATCCAGATGCACAAGACACAGGCTTCGCTGTACATGTTCAAGTGATTCCCCGTGGGCATCCATTCGTCACGGCCACCAGATACACTAAAGCGGCCGAGTGAGTAGCCCCCGTGATAGATCTTGGCGGGGCTCACGTCTATGAGGAAAAAGAAAAGACATTCGTTATGATGTCCGCCACCCCGGTTCTGAGTTTCCTTTGTCTCATCCACTTCTCTTTTTCCATTTGGTGATGTTCGTTATTTATTTCTTCTTCATTGACCTTCCCCACGGCCTTTTGGCTTCAGTTCAGTTTATCTCGAGATCATAATTTTGCTATTGTACATGATGACCTCCAACACGGATGATACTGCTCACACCGCTCCCCACCTACATCCGTACATGGCCTTGTCCCACATATGCAACCTGATGATCCTACTTCGGCATCCTATATTCCCCGTGCAGCGCGAACGATTCCGACCTCTACCACTGTCCATTCCGTCTTCATCAAGAAGCTGAGCTATCCTTTGTCTAACCGTCCAGATGAACTTTGGATCGTGGAAAGGACACTTGATGGTATTGAAACGTGGAAACCAGTGGAAACATTTCTGGAGAACATGCACCTCACCAATGATCAGGTGACCCTACGTACCACAGCTAATCATTGGCGCCGATACTATGACGTACCAATTCAATCATCATCCTCCTCCCCTACGGCAACTACCGTTCCTGTTCTACCACACCCTGAACACTCCAACGTCTATGTCTCCCAGCCGTACGAAGCGATACCGGACCACCTCCATATTTTGCAGTCATGCTGGGGACGCTCTGCCCAACACCACTCTCAAGGAACCACCACCTCTTTATATTGGCCACCTTGGCGGTCTACACCACCTTCTTCCCCACCGGCAACACTACAACGTACGGTACATCTCACTCGGCCCGCCGTCCCTCCTCAACAAGTACATGGTCCACTGGATGCGAACGATATGGACCCTATGGATATGTCGGACTCCAGTGTGTAATATACCACATCATTTGTCGGCGGAAAAAGAACAGTGATTTACCGTCTTTTTGTGACCACTTACTAGGTACACCGTTTCTCTTCAATTTCCAACACTTTGAGCTTTACTCTTTGGTCATTATCAACCTATTTTGCAGCTTGGGCTTTCCGCTTTATCCTCGACACTCGATATTCGACGCCATGGCTCATTCTTCTCGGCCCCATCCATATCGCGCTACATCCACGAGTGAGACACCGCTGGGTACACGAACCTTTGGATGGTTTGCTGGACCTCGAGGCCTTCCTGGTGATGTGAACCCTCCTCCAAACCGACCTGTTCTTATCTTGGTTGACTTCTCTCCCCTACAGGCATTGACTCACCGCAGCGAACCTGACCGTGAACACTACATGGCTATGGCCAGCTCCAGTTTCAGAAATGTTAGTGGCTACGAACTTGAGGCTCTGTTTACCTGGTCGCGTCAGATGGAACCAGTTGAAGCCAGCCTCATCCCAACTGGCGAACTACGATTCTGTATCTCAAAAAGATTGAGGTCCCAATGGGACATCCAACTTGATCCCTCGAATTTGGAGTTTCGCTTTTGCGACCTGGACGGTGATACATTCCAAGTCTCCAATGATATGACGATCTTGCAGCTTTTGGAGGAATACCGACCTGAATGGCGACTTCGGCAGTACAACTCCCGCGAATCCTCTTTGCTCATCCCGGGTACCACACAGCCTTTCGTACTACGCCTGCAATGCTACAAAATTAGCTCCGGTGTGATCTTGCCCTGATACGCTAGCCGGCCAAAAAGACCATGCTGCAGGGTTTTCTATTCTCTCTTGACACCTCACCAACACAAAGGATTCTTTGATTTCTACCTTTTTTGACTTTGAGGTTTGGCTTCTACGTCGCAATTGAACCACTTGATTGAGGACTGGACTTCACTTCTATTATTATTAGGTTTCTCATGTTCGGGCTGGACTTATTTATGAAAATTTTGATGCCTCAGCCTTTGTTGCACCATTTCTCGCATTTCTGATCGTCTCACCCATGGAGCACAAACGAGGCGCGACCGTGGCGGGCTTGGCGTGGCCTTCGAACCCTACCCGTGGACCCGCTCCTACCAACCCAGTTCCTGTACCAGACACCCAGGCTGCTGCACTTTGTCATTCTGGCGCTTCTGACCCTCCTACCAACACCACTTCGGCACCTTTGGCGACCGACAGTACAGCTCCTGACCTTGGAACTACGGTCCATTAATGATACATATTCGGGCCCTGCACCTCCTGATGTCCCGTTTCCGACGGAGCCAAGCTCTACACACAACTACCTCCATCGTGCTCACTTCTCTTCCCGCGTGGTTCACCAGATCCAATTCAAGATCTTTACCCACTCCAACAACACCAGGGAGCTATTCATTGAAGAGATCCCCTTGTCAGGGCTTTCCAGATGTCGTGATCCTGAACACTACTTTTATGGTCTTTCGGGCAATTGGGAATGGTCCCTGCGCACAGCGGACTATTGGCGACATCATTTTGAAATTCCTCTAGTACATGGACATCACCCTTTTCACAACGTTCCCATTGAGACCACTGCACCTACGGAGGCAACCCGCTTTACTCCGATGATCCAGGACTTGGCCCAACAACTTTCAATCACTTTGAGGGCTGCTATGGCATCTGGGGAAACCAACGACACGTGGAGAGCGCTTGAGGACATGAGCTTCCGTGACGCGATCGAAACACTTCAAGCTGGGACGAGCCTACCTTCTGAGTGACTGCATACAGTTGTGCACATTAGCTCCGGATAAGCTTTATGTGTCTAATTTTGTCGACATTTGCTGCGATGGTCTTCCAAAAATCAAACCCCGCTACAAGCGGGGTGTGTGTGTGTAACATCTGAACAGATGTCAAACTTCCTTGACTCTTACCGTTTTACAGTTGCAGGAAACCTGTTTATATTTGCAGGGGGCGACAGGGTCGCTGCATGGCTGTCGCCAACGAAGCTCCATGCAGTTGACTAGGATATGGAGTCTGATCAACTCCACGTACCTGCTTTTTCCGACATAGCAAGGGGCCAAGCTCAGAACCCCAACCACCATGATTTTATTCCTCCACGGTTGCCACAATCTGTAGTTTATGCATCAGAACCTTCCTCAGATTCTCGCCGAAACCATTTCGCCGACAGTGTTTTTGAATTTTTGATATATTTTCGCCGAGATCATGTCGCCGATGAACTTTGGGTCATTTTGGGAAACAATCGTCGAAACATTATTTTGGATTTTCAACATGCTGGTCAAAACTCTATGGACTCTGGTTATGACTACGTTTGACAATATTGGATGCCCTACATCGTTTTCGAGAAGTACCTCATGTGGCTCCTTTATTAATCTAACGATCTAGGCTGGTTTGCATGTTTCAGGATTCAGTTCCTGCCAGATCATATAATGATCCATTCTTGTCTAGTGTGTGTGTGCAAGTTGACATGAACGTCATTGCCCCACCCCACCCCACCCAACCCCACCCCAAGATAACCATAACGTAGCATGACGTCTGTGTGCTAGTTGACATGAAAGACCATCAAAAAACAAAAACATGCCAAAAAATTCTTAAAACACCACGGCCGTCTATGGGTCGGGCTCCAACTACAAATGGGCCATTTTCCATGGCTATGTGAAAAATTACCAGAGGGTACTGTAATTCCTGTGTTTCATGGAGTTTCCCATTGACGGACCATCCTTTATTGATAGTCAAGGCTCAACCAGGCTTTCCACTTGACACTGTACAACAGATAATGCATTCTAGAAAAAGCAAGTTGGTTTTAAGAATAAATCGTTCCACAACATTAGAATGCATGATTGCATGATTCTACAAAATAGTTGTTTAAAATCAACTTATAATGTTGTACACACATAAATAAGTTGATTTTTAACAACTGTTCACGGGTTTTTTCAGCAACACCAACCATTAAGGCATCCATTCAAGACATGAGGTGTGCGCTTCCAGCAGCACTTGCTGGACACCAGACTGGACCAGATGAGGATCAGGTGGGGCAGATCGGAAAACCTTCGATCGCCCGCAACACATGGGGATGGGTGAACACCTACAACTACCATTTGGAATGGAGGGGATGAACAATGATGAACACATCCCAGTTATTTGGTTGTGAACAGAAGGATAAGGGGCTTTTGACCCCATACGCCAATGTTTTTTGGCCGAGTGTCCTGAGGTGTTCACATGAAGCGAAGTTGGTGATGGCATGGCTTAGGCCCTAAGGCCACCATGTCTGAAGATGGTCATCGGGACGTATGCCATACCCGATGATCTGCCGGCAGGTAGAAGAACGAATGTTGGGGTGACCCAGGATGGAGATTTTTGTGGCAACACCCGGGTCATTCTTCTTGGTCCATGGATTTTGCACCAAAATGATTCCGAAAGAGATTTTATATGTGGTTGCTGGTCATTGGTTTTCAGTATGCAACACAAAAAATGCTGTTGATGATCACACCTGAAGGGGAAGATTGCGTTAAAGTGACGGCCACATTGCGGTATGGGGGAACTCCCACTGTTTTGGACCATCCTAAGAAAGGTATGGGCAGCATCATCGGAACTGCGCTTGAGGCAGCTGAAAAGGAGTTAGATCCCCTGATGTTCCACTGTCCATGTCTGTTGCCCAACAAATCCTAGGAGTATACCGTATACCAATGACTGTTTGGCTAAGATCCTCCGTTAGGGTTGGATATACCTCCAGTTAACCCATATTTATCCTTATTCCAAATGAGTTGGTTTGTCATCTCGCCATTTTTCTTGACAGATCTCGTTGGTGATCTCCGGGTGTTGATGCTATCTCCATGTGCACAGGTTGGAACGCATTTCCGATTTGCTTTGCAAGCCTGGAGTGTGACCGCTGGGCCATGGGGCGAGGTTGGGTTTTTCAGACACCCTGACAGGAATAAGGTGGCAGAGTGGGTTCAGCCAACCTTTTTTTGATGTTTCCATGATTCGCAAGATCTCAACGGACCAATGAAATGCCTTCACTCCTACGTTTGGAAGAATGTCGGCTTCCTGCAGGAGCAATTTTCAAGTGAGCTCCTCGTTTTTTTTATCTAAACTAGCAATGCAGAGTCGCCGATATCGCCGATTTGTAGATGGTTTCAGATTCACACAAGGTGGTGCCCCCCAGTTATAAGTTGGTTTATAATCCCATTAACTATAGATATATCACCTATAAACCATAGTTATTGGAGTTATAAACCAACTTAGCTATCTAGGGGGCACCACCTTGCACCTGAACTCTTTCCGTTGCTCTGGTACATCACTGACCAGAAAAACTTTGACGGACCAACCCACCCAGCAACGTCTTTCGGCAGGTACAAATTGCCCACCGATGGCCGCGTGTTTCGTTCCAAGGAGCAGCGGAGCAGCGGAGCAGCCTGTTGGTTTTGTATACCTTCCACGATTTTCCCATATTTTCCCATTAAAACCTCCATGTCTAATCATTTGTGCAGGACTCCCCAGCTAGCCATGTTTGATTCCCAGAAGGCAAACCATGTCGTAAACCACGTCAAACCCACACACAAACACACAAACCACTGTGGTTCAATATTTTTTTGCCCAGTGGAGAACCTTCCAAATTTCCACCCTGGCTTTCTCAATTCTGGCCCAAGAATCTGTAGGTGGGCAACGGTGTCAGGCCCTGCCAACAGAGCCACTACCGATGTGCTCTGTGTACTCAGCAGTACAGTATCAGGTGAGCCACTTGCCGTTCTGGAAACCTATGAAGGCATCAGTGCAAAAGAGATGAAGCAGTCCCTGCAAAGTCAGATCGGAGTGCCACGATTTCGGCAAAAGCTCTTTTTGGAAGATAGGACCCAAGAAATTCAAGATGACGAGGTTTTTGCCCTACAACCAGTCAAGATGAAGCTGGTGCTCTCAGAATTCTGGCCGCCTGACTTTGAGGAAGACCGGCGAATGATGGCTGCCTGTAGAATGATTCAACAGGGCTTGAGAAGTTGCTTAAGTGCCCTCGTAATCCCAACTTCGATGTGAACGGTCACATGCCACTGCATCAGGCGGCTGCAGCTGGACACCTCGAGCCTACGCTGCTTTTGCTTGAAGCAGGTGCCTTAAAAGACGCCCGGAACAACGAATCTCAGGGGGCTACGCCACTGTTCATAGCAGCAGGGAAAGGCCATGCAGAAGTTGTTGGCTTGCTGATTGAGAAGGGTGCTGACAAAAGCAAGGCCAGAACAGGTGATGGAGCAACACCGTTACACATGGCCGCTCGGAGGGGCCGCCTACAAGTTGTTCATTTGCTGGTCAAGGCCGGGGTTGAGATTGACAAAGCCACAACTGTCACAACTGACACAGGAGCAACTCCCTTGCACATCGCAGTTGAGAATGCACATCTGGAAGTGATTGATTCTCTGAGCACGGCTGGTGCTGGCGAAAACAAGGGGATGACCGTTAATGGTGCAACACCGCTGCACATTGCAGCACGCCAGGGCCATTTGCAAGTTATCCATTTGCTTGTCAAGCTTGGAGTTGAGATCGACAGAGCCACAACTGACCAAGGAGCAACTCCCTTGCATATCGCTGCTCAGGAACATCTTGAAGCTGTTCGATTGCTCAAGGCTGGTAATGGAAACATGAGCAGAACAGACACTGGAGAAACATCCTTTCACCTCGCAGCTCTGGCCATTTGGGATTGGTTAATTTGCTGGTGGAGGCTGGTGCAATTCCGTTGTACATCGTTGCTCAGAATGGCCATGCCGTTGTTCGTCTGCTTCTTGAGGCTGGTGCAGAAACAAGGCCAGAACCCGCGACGGGGCAACACCGGTGTATCTCGCTTGTCTTGTTGGGCATTTGCATGTTGCTCAC